AGGTTTTACTATGTATATTTAGGAAAATCTATCCATTTAAATTAGGCGGTTTAGCCGCAGATAAAAATAAATAAAAATCATTTTGAATTTAAACCGAAGAGTTTATTAGCCTTGGCTAAGGTAGTAACTACTCCTGGAGTTAGCGGATTGCGTTTCGCTACACTCGTGTTGGTTCTGTAGAGAACGAAAGGTCGGTGACCTAAATTACGCTTTCTCAAGCGCTAAGCTGCCGCAACCCCGCTGCAGATATAGTTGGAGATCAGATCTAAAAGTGCTAATGTAATATCTTTAATATTACCAATTGCAAAATTGACAACTGGAAAGTGAAGACCAAATATATGGCGTAAAATTCAGGAGTTTGATAAATTACCTTGCGCGACAGTTTGCCCGCTTTATATTTTTGTTGCGACTGCGAGGAGGAATAAATCTGTAAGGATAACAAGTCGTTTGACAAGTCGTGGAAAGGATACTTCTCACGATAATGAAAGTGTGCGAGCCATGGTGTTTGCGTGCGGGCTACGATTTAATTTCTGGAGAGTTTGAGAATTTCACGGTCTATATACTAACCTGAAGCCCAGTCAAAATTAATCTATGGGAAATTTGCTGTTGTAGATGCTGACAGGGAGCGCGCCGGATTTTGGACGATTTGTGGCATTTGGATTAGCAAACCAAGCATTGAGAATGGGCACATCATCGGGATTCGGAGGTTGCAACTCTGCTGAAAAGTTCTTTTAAGACTCGGTCGTTGGATTGACATGTTAAACGGGAAGCAGAGCAATGCGGTGGGCCTTCGCGAAGTCAAATCATAAGGAACACACTTGGGGTGAAGACGAAATAATATCAATAAAGATATTCATCTGGGCTACACTCTTTCGACTTACTAGTGTAGCCATCCATCTGTACTCGAACAGTCAATCATCAATGACGTCATAGGCATATCTTATCTATCGCGAGTTCGTGTCGGACTTACACAGAGAATGCAATACGAGCTACATTAGAATGATAAACCTTAACACTCCACCTCCGTGTGACCACACGTGAATATCAAGATCCTTCATTTAATCCTCGAGACAGAGTTCACAACGCTTTTGTCATTATGTCTGCCGGCACAAAGTGCGTCGGACTGGTTGGGCAAATACTAAAAGTCTCGCCTGACAATAAATAAGGACGAAGAATAAAACAGACGACAGCTCCACGCCTGTTGTCTTTTGACAGGCAAGTGCTAATGCTGTTGAAGCCAGTAATCTGCTTGAGCCAGCCCATTCCAAGATGCTGTATTTGGAACCGATCAAGTCCATTGACGCAAGACTATAAGCACAGAGCTTGATTTGACGGCGCTTCAAGGTGTGTTTTGAGCTATTAAACTGCTAGAACGACGCACGTCATTGCCACCAAGTTGACTTTCAAGATCAAGCGCAACGACTATGGATCAATCGAAAAATGATACCCTTTTGTGATAGAATCGGCGCACAAACGTTATTCTAGCCGTAGAATGCGTGACACTTCGAATGAAAATCCGATTGCTCAAGCATTTTGGCCGGCCTGTGGATCAGCTAGATGTGATGATGGCTTTCTTGTATGGTGTAATGAAAGCAGTCATGTCCTGTGCTTTGCTCGGAAGAATACAAATTGACGGGACTTTAATTGAATAGAACTGGCGAAGGCAATTCATGGAATCAAATAAGCTTCGCCTTTGCGACAAGTAATATAAAGTACACCGCGTTATGTATGGCTGCTTAAGATCGCAAATGGACTCATCAGTAACTGTGCCAAATAATTAAAGCGACCAGTGAACAAGGATCAAAGCTAATGAAACTCGAGGAAAATCCAATCTTGCATCAGTTCGACAAATTAACCACGGCGGTGCAAAGCACATCATCGTAAAATACTACTATATCCGCGATTAAGCCAAGCGTGGTAAGGTGTAGCTCGAATACTGGGAGCCTTTGGTCATACTCGTCAATTGCACAGCCCGTGGTACTTGTTGTGATTGCTTTTGAAATGCGGTCCTTTTCCTTGTGGCTGAGCGTTTTGTGCGTTTTCTTTTTTGGATGACTTATGTCGGTTACGTCGCTTCTGCGTCGCTAATGTTGAGCTATAGTTTATCGGGATAAATTTATAGTCGATGTTGTCAGAGGAGCTTGCCGCTACAAAACCAAAACCGGATTTGTCGAGAGTGAGATTTCGCACTACTTGTCTCGCCTCAAGGTCGTCATTCTGATATGCATTTATATCCAACGACCACACGTGCACGAGCTCTGCGATCCCGCTTAAGTTGCTCTTTCCTAGTAGTAAGGATGTATGTCAACACCCCAGAAACAAGCATGCGCTTTGCTTGACATGATTCTTGAACGGAATTTTGTTCTTAGCTGTAGATGATGGAAAACAGATATTCACGGAGGTTTATTAATTGCTGGTACATCTTTAAACCACTTGTTTAGTCTCACTTCGCGCAGCATGTTGCGACTAATCGAGAAGATAGATATGTTGGCTTGCTTTGTTGTACTTTAATTTGGGACGAGTAGGATCCCTAGGTGCTGCTCAATTGCTTGGCCCCAAAAAAGGTCTCAAAAGAGCTGGACGCAGCATCATGGGATCCTTTTGACGTGCAAAGGTGACGCAATTTCCAATTTGTGTGTAAGCCTTGATTATGTAGTAAGTGAAGCCCTTGCAATCTTTCCTGGCACTCAGACAGATACACTTCAAACACTCACTGGCTTCATCTACGATGAGAAGCAATATCCTGTTACCACTTTACTATTATTAGTTTATCGGGCCGCAAATGCTGGAATAAAGAAGATGAAATACTGCATAGCGGAGCATACTGCGGTCGCTTGACAACTGTTTTGAATACTTTTACCGGTCGGCAAAGATGGTACGCTCGCGATATAAATCATGCCACAGGTGGCCATTTTCCGTAGCATATTCACTGGAGTATCGTCCATTTAAGCATGATTGTCTACGTTGCGGATCAAGGTTGTCAATTTTAAGTCGGCAGAAACCGTCCATCAGGCCACCGACGCAGATAAAATTAAGGTTTGCACGTTTGTCCATATCCTCCCTTCAGCCGCTTTTGTAAATCTGTGATACAAAAAGAAGAAAACGTTATTCTCCTCACCATAGATGGGCTTTTACCTCGATCCTGACTTTGTCTACACACAAAACCACTTGCTTCACGTTAGTTTCGACACCCTTAATTGTAGCCTTGTTTCCGACAGCTCGGTTTCGTTAGAAAAGCAGACTTGATCTCGTCATTACAGATTTAAAACGTGGTAACACTACCAATTGCTCACATCCCAGACACATCTATGCCTATCAATAGCCCACCGTTCATCGATCCAGCAAATGCGACATAGTTCTTTTCACACTTCTTCGTTGGTTTGGAATTGGACGTTGTTGACTAATACGCTGGTGCCTTCAGTCATCTCCATGCTAAAGAGCTACCACTGCAAGTTAATTTGCCAGCTTTTTAACAATCACCGTAAATCATCTTGATGCGCACCAACGCGACTTTTCGAACACGTGGTGGTAGTCCGCGTTAATTTAAAGAAGCATCAGGCCGGATGCAATGTTGCTTAGCCTAACATAGTTATATGACCGAGTGTCAGCAAAGTTTGAAATTCCCACACAGTTGACCACATGCCAAACTGACTTGGTCAGGAACATGCCGCGCATTAGCGGATCCACGTAGCATTGGATCTGCTATTGAACTTGTTCATGAAGATCTTGGCCGAGCAGTTCTGCGTAGAAGAGATGTGTTATGACGTAGAGTGGGGAGCGAGGTGAGGCGTAGGGTCCCTCGAAGAATGATAAATAAGTCATGATACTTATTGAGAGAATAAAAAAAATGACCCAACTTTTGCCATATATAAAAAAAATATCCCAACTTTTCAAAAAAAATATATACCCCAGCACGTAAAATATCACCGGGGAGCCGTAATATTACACAACAGAAGATGTGAAGATGTATTGTATTAGGAATGAATTAGCATAATTCTACAAAATACCCCACAATAACAAAGTATACATTTATATGCTATATCCATTCAGTTTACTATTAACCAAGTAAAGCTAAACTAAAGAATACATGACTTCTAACCAGGACCCACATTAGCTCAGATGGTAGAGCGCTTGCAAAATACAAGCAAAGGTCCTTGGATCGAACCGAATGGGTAGGTAGTTTGTTGGTGTCTCATGTCCCATGTCCCTGTGTCCCTTGTCCCTA